GCCTTCGGCACCGAGTCAGGGTTTCCTAAATTCCCCCATTTTAAAATATTTAGGTGGCGACTCTGTATCTGGCAAAGCAGTCCATGTTTGGCACTACTTTTTCAAAAATCTGTTTCTCAAAACGATTTGCCAGATTTGGACTCTTTGGTTCAGATTAAGAACCGTGGCACAAATCGAGTCCGAGCTGTAGCGAGGTCCCACGCGGGCGCTGTTACAGGTGGGAGTTATTTGTGGTCTGGAGGCCGGGCATTATCTTGTATTGATTGTTTTTTGGTGTCGGGAGCTTAGGAGGATCATTTTCTAGGGGTGTCTCAACATCGTCTTTCCCGCCAGATGTTAGTTCATTGGCCTATTTTGCTTGATCATGGGGGTATTCGAAGTGGCAGTACGCCGTTTTGTTTTGAGAATATTTGGTTACGATATGATGGTTTTATGGATAGGGTGAGTGGTTGGTGGTCGGGTTATGTTGTATCTGGTATGCCTAGTTGTAGGTTGGCTCAGAAATTGAAGTTATTGAAGGCAGATCTGAAAAGTTGGAATAAGGAGGTGTTTGGGCTGTTAGAGGTGCAGAAGGCGGTGGTGTTGGTGCCTTTACATGATTTGGATGTTATTGAGGCTGATGGTGGTTTGTCTTTGGAGGATGTTGTTCGGCGGGATGTATTTGGGACTAATTATGCCCGTATTGTTAGTTTGGAGGAGATCAGTTCTTGGCAGAAATCTAGGTATTTGTGGCTAAAGGAAGGGGACCGTTGCACGAAGTTTTTCCATCGGATGACGAATGCTCATCGACGGGGAAATCAAACTAGGAAGGTTTGGGTGAATGGGCTGGAGTTGTCTTCTGAGAGAAGGTGCAAACGGGGGTTGTTGGTTTCTATTAGAGTTTAATCAGTTCGGTAGTGGAAGGGTGGCGGCCAGGGTTTGAGAGTTTGGAGTTTAGTGTGCTTTCTGAAGAGGATGGTAAGGCTTTGGAGCGACCTTTTTATGAATAAGAGGTGTTGGAGGCTTTGAAGGGGATAAGTGGTGCCAAGGCTCCTGGTTCGGATGGCTTTTCTATGGCTTTTTTCCAATATTGCCGGGATATAGTGAAGGTTTTTGATGAATTCGATGGAGTAGTTCTATCCATTGGGCCAGTTTGCAAAGAGTTTCAATGTGACTTTTCTTGCTTTGATTCCAAAAGTGGTAGGGGCTGAAGATATTTCACAATTCAAGCCTATTAGTTTGGTGGAGAGTATGTACAAGATTTTGGCTAAAGTTTTGGCCAATAGGCTTAAGGTGGTGTTGGAGATTGTGGTGTTTAAATCATAGAATGCTTTTGTGGGAAGTCGTCAGATTTTAGGTGCTGTTTTGATGGCTAATGAGAAGATGGATTTATTTATGCGTTTTGATGGTGAGGATGTCAGTGCTCATTAATGGAACGCTAGTTGGTTTCTTTTAGGCATTCCGTAGTTTATGGCAGGGTATTCCGTTGTTTCCTTTTTATTTTGGTGATGGAGGCATTCAATTGGCTAGTGTCTAGGACAGTGCTTGGTGGTTTGTTGGAAGGTTTTCAAGTAGGAGCTACGAGTGTTGATCCGATTGTTGTTTCTCATCTTTTGTATATGGATGATGCTTTGATTTTTTGTGGGTCAGAACCAGAGTAGTTAGGTTATCTCCGTTGTGTTTTGGGTTGAAGTTGAATCTTGTAAAGTTGGAGTTGATTTTGGTTGGGGAGGTGAATTAGCTTTAGTCTTTGGTGGCTATTTTAGGTTGCATAGTGTTGGCTTTGCTAGTGTCTTATTTGGGGCTGCCTTTGGGGGTTTCTTTTAAGGCTAAGGCGGTGTGGGATAGTTTGTTGAAGAGGGTCCAACATCGTTTGGCGGGGTCGAAACAACACTATTTACCTAAGGGCGGGAGATTAATGTTGATTAGGAGTGTGTTAGATAGTATTCCAACTTATTTCATGTCGGTGCAAGTCATTCCAGTGTCTGTGGCTTGTCAGTTGGAGAACTTGTAGCAGGACTTTCTATGGGGTAGTGGTGAGGATGAGTTTAGGTACCATCTTGTAAGTTGGGGAGGGGATTTGTTGCCCAAAAGAGGTTGGGGGTTTGGGGGTGCGGAGGTTGAGGTATATAAATTTTACTTTGTTAGGGAAGTGGTTGTGGCGGTTTGCTTGGGAGAGGGATTAGCTGTGGCGTCGTGTGGTGGCTTTGAAGTATGGGATGGGTCGAGGGGAGTGGAGTTCGGAGAGAGTGGTTGGTCGCATGGTTGTGTTTTGTGGAAGTGTATTTGGCTTGGAAGGGGGAAGTTTTGGGAGTAGATCCGATTCCGAGTGGGTACTAGATATAGGGTGAGGTTTTGGAAGGACCGAGGTGTGGTGTAGTGGCTTTGGATTTCAGTTTCCATTGATTTTTCGTTTGGTTGTGGATCTGAATGCTGGTGTTTTCTTGTTTGGGAAGCGGTGGGCTTGGGAATGAGGTGGTTTGGGATCTTGGTTTGCTTCGGCAGGTTTAGGATTGAGAGTATGATCAGTTGTTGGATTTGTTGAGTTTTCTTCATCGGTTCCATGTTCAGGGGAGGAAGGAGGATGTTTTGGTTTGGGGGGTTGGTTTGGGCTCCAAAGGCGTTATCTTAGTGTTATCTTTTTATCGAGCTGTGTGTGGATGTGGATTGGGGAGTTTCCTTGGCACCAAATTTGTGTTGCAGGTGTTCCTACTAAGGTGGCTTTTTTTGTGTGGATTGTGACTTTTGGTCGGATCTTTACGATTGATAATTTGGTTCGACATGGGCATATTTTAGTTAACAGCTGTTGTATGTGTTGTGCTAATGTAGAATCAGTGGATCATTTGCTGATTCAGTGTCCGGTAGTTTATCGTCTTTGGGTGCTTGTTTTCTCTACTTTTGGAGCTGTATGGGTGCAACAAAAAGGGGTGATAGAGGTTTTTTAGAGTTGGGGTGGGGGTTGGGTGGGTTAGCACTGTAGCAAGGCTAAGGCTTGGGCTTAGGCTCCTTTGTGTTTGATGTGGTTGCTATGGTTAGAACGGAATCGACGTGTTTTCAAGGAAGTTTGCTCAATTTCTTGGTTAGAAGATTAGTTTCTGCGAGTTTTGTGTGGTTGGGTGTTAGGGTGTGTGGATCCTGATTTGTTTACCATTTTAGATTTCCTTGATGATGTAATTGGCTAGCTTGTTTTTTTCTTTTTTTGGGGCTCTTGATTTCTGTATTCTTTAGCATCTTCTTGATGCTTTTTCTTCAATAAAATTTTATTTATCAAAAAAAAAAAGGAAAAAAAAAGGAAAAAAGATTTCTGAGAGTTGTTTTTTAATCCGAAGAAGAGTACTTAGGTTCTTCTAATAACTAAAATGTGTAACATACCTAAATCTAGCTGGGATTTGCAGGGGGCCTAGATTATATCATCACGACCTCTCATTTCGTATCGCTAGGGATGCTTAATGCACTTTGCCAGCTGGTGTTACCCACTTACACTTTTGTCTCTCTCAATGTGGTCAACTTTGGGAACCTCCGAGTGGTGAGGCTTACAACCATTCGCATTAGGTCATCCAAAGTTCCTTACCACAAGTAAATAATGCATTTGATTCCAACTAATCACTTGATTAATCACTAGAAAGCTTATATTCATCTAATATGTGGTATTAGACCTGCTTTTAAAGTAAGGTACTAGGATTAAGGAGCAGAGGGCTAAGACTACTAATTACGTGATAAGAAGAGGGCTATTCCTAGCCCTATTTATTGGCCTATGGTAGAAGTTCTCATATTGTCTCTGCTATCACACTGGAGATTATTTTTTTCCATTAGAGTAGTTATATTGGACCATCACTTAGACCTCATGTGCAAATACTCCTCCACAATACTGCTTAGGTAGGTGGTTGAGTCGAAGTGGAGAAGGAGACTAAGTCATTGGTCGTGCCGGGATTGGTTTCTTACTTCTAGCTGAATGAGGGCCACACAATCGTCAAACCTGTTGGAAATGCTTACGTTTTCTAGTTCCAATCTTTTGGTATTTCATTCTCTACTCGAATGTTTGGACCAATAGAATTGTACGAAATGTTGTCCTTTCATATCTCCAACTGGTAACTACTAGCTTCATCATTGATCTCTCCTCTTCCCAGCCGACTGTGACTCATACGTCCAGACAATGATTGTTTATTCCGAATTAATTACTCTCTATTTTATTATTAGTTAAGATTTAATTTATCATTGAATTTAATACAAGTACTAAAAATCTCTCATATACAATCTAATTCTTTCTTCTTTCTATTCCCAAACAAAACAAGATGCGGGAAAGTAAAATAGTGATTTTTTTTTTTTGGAATGAATGAAAGGCATCCATTGTCTAGTGGATAGTACAGAGGTCTTCTAAACCTTTAGTATTCATATCCTATCGGACTCAATTTATTTCCATATTTTTTAGATTTCTATTTCAAGAAAGACATTTTCAATGATTTGAATCGAAGAGGCTTGCTTACTCCCCCTTTTGCATACATACATACAAAATATACATACAGTGTATGAAGCGTGTATATATAGACAGTGGTGTGGCCAGAAAATTTCTCTAGTGGGGTCATTTGCTCTGAAATTGGAACTGCCATAACGAACAAACAGAAAAGATCCAAATGAACAAGTCTCAGCAACTGGAATGGGACATTGGAGAGAAAAAGAACCAATCAGAAAGTAACGTGAGAAATAACAAACAAACACAATAGTTGTTAGGGCTGGGCATAGGGTTATCCGACCCGCCCAAACCACCCCACCCGAACTGAACCGCATGCGCGTAGGCAGTTTCACAAACACATTAGGATAGGATGCGGGTTGAATTTTATATAAATTTCAAGTTGCGGACGGGTTGCGGGTTTGAACTGCACCCGCCCAACCCGTCCCCATTAAATTAATTAATTATTTTTTTTTTTCCTCTCTCAAATCTGGCTGTCCATCATCTCTCTCACCTCATCTAATACAACAAACAAAACAAAAAACCCTAAATTAGCCTCCCTTACTCTCTCAGTCTCATCTCAAAACTCATCACTGTCTCGCTCTCTCACTCTCTCACTCTCTCACTCTCTCGTTTCGTTATTCTGCTGCACCGATCACTCTCTCTCACTCTCTTGTTGTTCATCTCATCGCACCGATCATCACACCGCCGATCTACTCACTGGTAAACTCTCTCTCTCAATCTCTCTCTCGCCCCGATCGTTGATATTAGTTGTGTTGAATCTGTAATGGCTGACGGATAAGGTAAGATCTCTTCATTTTCCCGGAAAATTTCCCATCAAATCTGATCTCTTAATGGCTGTGTATGGCTTCCGTTTGGTTCCCCAGAAAATTTAGCTAAATTGGTGTTTTTTTTACATACCCTTTGGCTTAAAAAGTTAAATTTTATGTGGGTTTTTATTTTCTTTGCTTTTCTGTTTTCTGGGTAAGCAAACGAAGGGTTGATTAGGGTTTCCTTGAGATGTTGTGAATCTTAAGCTGAACTACTTTTTAGATCTTTTTTATTTTGTATATATATATATTCATTTTCAAATTTTCTCTGATTTGGTTTAGTAAAATTGCTCACTAGAATGTCTTTAGTATTGTTCTTCATCAGAGATCTCTTGAATTTTCTAATTTCTGATCTGATGTATCCGATCTTGTTTTTGTAGTTTTATTTGTAAAAAAATTTAAAGATTAAATACCAGTTGTTTGACATTCATAGCTAGTTGATCTGTGAGTTGCTTGTCTGACATCTTGATCTCATATTTCTCCCAGGAGATCTCTGCCCCGTTGATGCAAATGATGCAGTCACTGGTCACATAATTTCCACTACTATTGGTGGCAAAAATGGAAAACCCAAACAGGTATTCTACTTTCTTGAACACAATTTTGACTTGCTCTGATCAAGATCTCTTACTGATTCATACACTCAGGGATATATAATTGTTTGTGTTGGGGGACACATTTAATAAAACTGGATCTTCACTAGAAAGACTCACATAGCCCCTCAAATGATCTAGTCTTCAAATCAACTGAAATTCAGTTCATAAATATTTATATATCTGTTTGCTCTGATCAAGATCTCTTACGAATTGAATTTGTTGTGTTTTTTATTTTATAATTTTTTTATAAGTTTTAATTCATTAATTATTAATGTTGGAGCATTTTAGAAAATATGAGAAAAAAGGTCCAAAATAAAGATTGACAAAATGGGAGAAAAAAAAGGTTTAAAAATAAATTTTTGAAAAAAAAGTTCAATCCGCAAACCGCCCGCAATCGTCCGCACATCCGCAAACCCTATCCGCACAAACCGCATTGCGGGCGGTTGCGGGTTGACTTTTCCCCAAACCGCATAGATGCGGGCGGGTCCAAACCGAACCGCAAACCGTCCCAAACCGAACCGCGGACACCCCTAATAGTTGTCAATGCCAGGGGATCAGGAGCAAGAGAGAATAAACAAACGCTGGGTTCGTTTCTAGAATACTAAACTACTGAGAGTGGAACCAACTAGGCCTAGCCTAGTTGGCCACCATGATTCTCCTAAGGGCTTAGTCCCAAGGGAGATGTCATGGGTTTAACTTCTTAAAGGAAAGTTGAATTAAGGAAGCAAATACTTGGCGCCTTGCAAGGGTAAGGATGCTAACTCTAATTGAACAACTAACAACTGAGGTGGGGAGGTTAACTCCTATAGGTGGTAATTTAACAACTAACAACTGACCTTCGTTGATCCCAAATTTTTTTTTTTTAATGATAATGGATTTTTTTTGACCCGGTGGGTTCAGTCTGTACATTTTTTAGAATTGTTTTTTTTTTAAAAAAAACCCATTGGGTTCAATGGGGGCGTTGGCAAGAAAAATTTTAGCCTCTTTTAGGCGAAAATCTACAAAAAGACAAAATAGGCTAAAGTAACTAATAAGACAAAATGTCACATCAAACCCAAAATCATTTCGTTTTTTCTTTCACAAATATCATATTCAACTACAAAAAAATCCAATAATCTTTCCAAATACAAAAATTTTAGCCTACTAAAATAGTAACTTCCCAAACATCCACAATATGTAAAAACTTAAATTTTAGATAAAAATTTCATATACACTAAAAAAAAAAAAATTAATATTGTTTAAATTAAACCTGGGTGGTGGTGATAGTAGAAATTTTGAGAACAAATCAAAGGAGATGATTGATTCTTCTTCTTCTCTATTTACTGGATTGGAGGAATTGAAAAAGTTATTCCTTTTTGACTAAGAAGCATGGACACTTATAAGATGTTGACTTGGTCGTGTCGAACACTGACACTCCTTGAACACTCTCGGACAGGTGTCCGATACTCTTTTTTCCATGTTCGTAATTAAAAATAGAAGTTATAATTTCAAACACGTGTCCAACACTCATTTTGCAATGTCTGTAACTTCTTGTCCATTCTATCATAAAAAGTAAACATGAGACCAACACTTCTTGGATACTTGCTGATTTTCAAAGTTTGAGAATTTCACATAATCTTATACCCTTAAAAAATGGATAATTATTAAGATTAATTCTGTTGAAGTTTTAAATAAACAATGAAAAAGATACATAAATATATTATTAGATGGCCTCGGAAGATGAGGGAAATGTTGCAATTATATATGTTTACTATAGTTTGTCTGATTTTAGTAATCTAAAAACTTATGCAAGAGAATTAGATATAGGTTTCACTTAATATAATAAAGTAATTATAGAATTTTGTAGCATAGCCGTGTCCTGTGCCTGTGTCTATGCTTCATAGCTCTTTGATATTTACATATATGATGTAATGATGTATGCATCTCTCTCTCTGACTTTTAACAACAAATTAAATGACAATCAGTATAAAATATTTAATTAAAGACCCAACCTATCTTCAAGCCTTTGAGCAAAAATGTTATCCTTCAAGTTGCAAATTGTAACAATACTTGTAGAAGCAGGAAAGCACTTGATCTATAATTGCTCTTGCACAATAGACATCCTCCAATTCATACAGGAAAGCATTTGATTTAAAAGAGAAAGTTGGTAATTGAAAAGTAGTTTCGTGAGAAGTGTGCAGGATGTGTGAAAATTAATTTGTTAAGGACTTTTGTGGAAGAAGAAAAGGTCTACACAACTTCAATACATGATCAAAATCAAATTCTGAAATTGTGAACAAGCTGTGAATTATTAATTTGTTAAGGACTTATTTGGAAGGAGAAAAAGTGGACACAACTTCAATACACGATCAACACCAAATTATGTAAATGCTGAAATTGGTATAACTGCCTATTTTGAAGCTATGCGTCACGTATCTTCTCATGCCCAAATATCCCTATGCAGCTGCCCTGGGTTTTAATTTCACATTTTGATTTCTTCAGTTTTTCCCTTTCATCTAACAACTATGAAGTATGGGTACTTCAAAAATAGTGCCGTACACGTACCGGGTACTTACCGGGTGTGGGTACGCGTATTGGTACGGCTGCACGCGTACCGGGTACGGCAAAAAGGAGTCCGGTATGTTTGGTTCAATTGGATACGGCTTGGGTACGGCATGGGTACGCCTTTGGTACGTTTCAGGTACGTTGGGGCAAAAATCAAATTTCCTGGAGAATTGAGGGGTACCGGAGCAATATTAAGAAAATTTTCATAAAAAAACAGAAAAGGAATATACATACACATGAATGACCCAGGTTTTGCCCAAATCTCTTCACTTCAGCAACACAGCAGCAAAGAGGCGACCCATCCATTCCCTTCGTAGGCCTCCGGCGATGGCAACGCAAGGAGAGTTCCGGTGAGTGCTCTTCATCTTCTTCTTCTTCGTCTTCATCTTCTTCTTCGCCTTCTTCTTCTTCTTCGTCTACATCTTCCACCCTCGTCTTCTTCGTTTATTCTTCTTCGTCTTATATATTTTTTGTTTTGCAGATCAACAAGCAACTGGTTTTGTCCCTTCTTGCATCTCTTCTTCTTCCCTTCTGTGAGAAACTGGTCAGAATTTTTGGGTGGCCTTGCATATTAGCAAGCAACTGGTTAGAATTTGTTTCTTCATCTCTTCGTCTTATAGTTTTTCATCTTCATCTTTATTTTTTTTGTTTTTTTCTTCTTTCTTCTTTCTTCTTCAGAGAGGTAGAACCTGGTCAGAATGTATGGTAGAACCAAAAAAAATTAGAACAAAAAAATTAATAATCAATCATACTTACAGAATGTTAATAATCAAAAAAAATTAATTAGAACAAAGTTATTCCTCGACAGAAGAATGTTAATCAAAAAAATTAATTAGAAGTTTAGAACAAAGTTATTCCTCAACAGAATGTTAATAATCACAAATATTATTTGTTATGCTTATAGGAAAATGAGTTCATCAAGTAGGTTGGATCCTTTAACCATAATTTAAAAAAAAAATATATATATATATATATATCGGCGTACTGCAGCCGTACCCGTATCATGCTTTTTTTGAGTTTTGCCATATCGGCGTACCTGCACTTGTACCCGTATTGTACTTGTACCCGCACCCGTGCTTCCTAGTCTAACAATGATCTGCTTAAATTTTGATGCTGACCATTTAAAGATCTGATATCTTAGGTTTTCATAGCAGACCTATGGGGTGTGCACATCTTTTGTGTCTGTTATATATTGTCTGGCTAACCCATATTTTTTTACAACTTTTTTCCAGTATGTAATTAGGTAGCAGTGTATCACTATCTCTAATGCAATGGATCTTAAGTCATTCAAGCTGGACATTGATGAACTCATAAGTGAGTTCACTGAGGTATTAATTCATATAGTTCTCTTGGCATTTTATTCTTCATCAATTACATGTTTATCAGAATTGGGTTGTTTCTTTCATTCTCTTTTTTTCTTTTCTTCTTCTTTATTTATTTATATTTTTTTTCTGGTGCATAATTGAATGCGAGTGGAGTTTGATAACTTGCAGAACAATCTGACAACTTTGGCTGATATGAAGAGGGTATGGCTTTCGAGAAAGTTCTCCTTCATATTTGAGGCGAGTCCTTCTACAAACTTGGCTATCTTTATGCAATCACTGTATGCTCACTCAATTGGTATGTCCTTGCTAACCTCAGCTGGTTGGTTATTTGCATGTATTTAACCTTTTTCATCTGGTTAAATTTATTTTAGCTATGATGGTGCTATTATCTCGATAAAGAATTTCTTTTAATTTTTCAAGAAACAGCCAGATTATAATGTAACCCTTAAGTGCATAAAAAGTTAGCATTTGTGTAAATGAGAAACTTTACAATTGTCTGATAAAATGATAAAAAGTTAGCATTTGTCAATCCCAGAAGAGCTAGAAGACTCTAGTTTTGAATACAATTTCCGTGGTGCTACTCAGCTCATTAGCCAGTACACAGCCCTATTTGGTTAATCACATGAAATGACATCTGTACCTTGTCATTAACTGGTAGGAAAGATAGATCCTTTGACTCAATATTCACTAAGCAGATGTCTCATCAGAAACATAGAAAACCTTTCCCTTTCCTGACTTTGGAGGCATTGAATCTGCATATAGAATTCCTAATAGTTTTTGGGGAAATTACAAAGAAAAGCCCAGGATTTGGCCCTTAAAACAGATCAAACCCTAAATTTTTAATTTGTACAAATGAAACCCTAAACTTTAAAAATAGGTTTAATTCCAACCATCCGTTTATTTTTGTTAATTATAAAACTAATGGGGTAAGGGTATTTTGGTCAATCTACTACTAATTTATTATATAAATTATATTTATACATACTAACAAAACCAAACCAAACCAAACCAAACTAAATTAAGTCTTAAGTCCTATCAAATGAGGTCCGCTACATGAATCCCTCTTCTCCACTCGACTTTATCTAAGGCCATTTCGTTAGTCAAATTAAGGAGATTCATATCTCTATTTACTACACTAACTCATGTCAATCTATGTTTCCCCCTTCCCCTAACACTTCCTTCTATTGTCACTGTATCGTATCTTTTTACTATTGTCTCTGCTGGTCTTCGTTGTATATGACCAAACCATCTCAATCTATTCTCTCTCAACTTATCTTCTATTGGTATTACTCTCACCCATTCTCAAATATACTCATTCTTAATTTTGTTTTTTCTAGTCTCGCCACACATACATCCATCTTAGCATCCTCATTTCAGCAACACTTATCTTATCTACATGTTGTTTCTTAGTTGTCCAACATTTCGTCCCACACAACAACGTTGATTTAATAGCTGTTCTATAGAACTTTCATTTTAGTCTAGTGGGTACTCGTTTATCGCACAGTACCCCAGACGCACTCCTCCACTTAAGATACCCTGCCTTAATTTTATGGACCACATCCGCTCCAATCTCCCTAGCCGTTGTAATAATTGATCTAAATAACGAAAATGTTCTCAATTTTCACTTCTTGGTTCTCTTAGATACTAAAATTACACTCTATGTATTTTGTCTTAGTTCTGCTTATTCTAAATCCTTTAGATTCAAGTGCTTCTTTTCAAGTCTCCAACTTAGTGTCCAACTTTTTCTCTAGTCTCATCCACTAACGCGATATCATCTGCACAAAGTATACACCATGGCACATCATTCTGAATATTTCTTGTCAACTCATCCATAACTAAAGCAAAAAGATAAGGGTTTGAAGTTGATTCTTGGTGTAACTCTATAGTAATTGGAAAGTCACTTGTTTCTCCAGCTGACAATCAAAAGTGGTCACCACCCTTTCATACATATCCCTAATTACATCAATGTAATATTTTGTTACCCACTTCTTCTCTAACACTCACCGGATTATATTTCGAGGCACTCTATCATATGTTTTCTCAAGATCGATAAAAATCATATGAATGTCTCTTTTCTTTCCTCTATACTTTTCTATTACTATTCTCAAAAGATAGATCGCTTCCATTGTTGACCTACCAGGCATAAACCCAAATTGATTCTCTGACGTCTCTGATATATCTTGCAATCAACATTCCATTACTCTCTCACATTTTCATTACATGACACGTTAGCTTGATTCCTCTATAGTTGTTGTAGTTTTGGACATCTCTTTTATTCTTATAGATTAACACTAAAATGTTCTTCCTCCACTCTAGCATTTTCTTAGTCAACAAAAACAAAAACATGATTCACCCGCCACTGGCAGCCCCTTCCACCGCCTCCCACCAGCCAAAACCCCACAACCACCTTCTTCCATCCACCCAAAAACCCTAGAACCACCAAATCATTGTCAATTTTGTCATCCATCTGCTGATCTAGTTGCCCAGAGATCTAATCATTGCCGGATATGGTAGAAACATCATCGATGGGGGAGAAGATGGTGGAAGAGGAAAAGGGGATGGGCAGTGAGGGGAAGGGGAATGGGGGAGGAGGTGGGGAAAGGGAAATGAGTGGAGGTGGAGAAGGGGAAGTGACAGTGGCTAGAGAAAGGAAATGGGAAGGGAGTGTGATGGGGGGGATGGGACAAGGCAGTGGTTGCAGATGAGATTGAGAATGGCTCTGCCCAAGGCTGAGGAGATTGTCTCCTCCAATTTAGTCATTGTCTTCGGCTCCCACACCAGATCTATCAACAACTCAATAGCCTTGTAAATAGCTTGAGAATCTATGACTCTTACACACACACAAAGAAATATTGTAAATGAAATTGACCTGTTAGAATTTGGTTCCTTCGGTGGAAGGGGAAGGGTTGCTGATACTGGGAAGAAGAAAGGAGGGTTGTGATTCAGTGTGGTCTAGTGTACAATAGTTTTAAAATGAATGATTTAGATGTTGACAAAATGGGGTTGTGATTCAGTGTGGTTAAGGTTGAAGTTAAAATTAACATAAAGAAGAAACACAAATGAGAAATTGACAAATATGTTGTGTATATTTTTCTCCTTTGGTCAACTTAGCGGAGATGGACATGGTTGGAATTGTACCTTTATTTGAAGTTCAGGGTTTAATTTGATCAAACCCTGTTTTTTAATTTTTATTTTTTTATTGAAGTGTGGAAGTTTCCTATTATTTTATTATTACTATTATTATGGTGGACATAATAATAATAATGTACACCACAATAGACTAACTGTAATATACTCAATTCCAGGTTACATGGTCTCAACAGCTTCTTTATCACATAGACTGGGTGGTCTCTATTGCCTTTACTGCCTCCATGAAGTTCAACCATTCAAACCTCCTTTCAAAATTTATTTATCTCTTGGTATGTTTGCAAGCTTTTCCTCAAAACATGATTTTTATTATCTTTACCATTTTGATGAATATTGTTGTCCTTAGCATATTCAAAAGATCATAAAGTGATTTCTTTTGATCTGCAAGCAGTCTAATGATTCGATGTGGCTTTCAAATTTAGTTGAGTAGTGCGTTTTTACCTAGCATGTTGGTACTAAAACTATATTCACGTGTTTGTAATTGATATCTTTATTTTCTACTAGTACATAAATTATATGTAGACTTCTTATGATTTATTCGTCTCAGTTGCGATCCTTCTGCCCTTTGTCTTCTAACTCTTTCAATGTTGGTAACCTAAGAAGCACGAACACTTTTGCGGAGGAAGTGTGTGTCAGACACCAATACTCTTTGGGCACTCCTAAAGTGTGTCTGACACTAACTTGTGTTAATTTAAAAATCAAATTTATAACATCAGACACTTTATCGACACTTTGGCAACACTTCGTGATCCCTTTGAACATGTCCTGTGTGATGAATCCTTTCATAATAATAATGTTCTGCATTCTTCGAAACACAGCTTATGCACTCAAGATGTTATGTTTTTAAGTATTTATGAGATGAATAGATCATGTGTATTACAATGTTATATAATTTTTTGGAAAAACTAGGGAGGCATTTCTCTACAAGTTTGTGTAAGAGTTTAAAGACACCAACAATTTGCTTGCTAGTTAAAGTCCTTGAGATTTGTAATCTTAAAGTCTTAAAGACAAATTTAACATGTATGGTCTAAAATGCCCTTGCTAATTGGGCATTTCATTGCATAACTTTACTTGTCATGACACTGATATGTTTACTTAGTAAGAAATGATATTACTGTCGAGTGAATGTCAATACTCACCCCCCCTACATTGTGTATGTACCGATGGACACCCGTCAGCGTGAGCGTCAGGACGTGGTTTATTTTGTTAAGTATAGACCCTAGGTTAATTTGGGCCTGTGTGCCTTTACACCTTTTGTCGGATTATTGTATTAATTAACTTCGGGCTGTAACTTAAACATTTATTTCCGTTATTGCATGATATACTTCAACTTGGTTTGTGCGCCAAGTAAGGATGTGTTTAGCATGTGAGAGAACACTAGAGTTTTTATTAAACTTAAAGGGTGAATTATTTCAAAAGCTATCAAGCGGCATGTTTGCAAACCTAATTGTGAGAATTTAATGAGCATTGGCTAGGGAAAGTGACTTCGAGTATGAACTAAGTAATAAAGAGAGTTTTGCTTAAAACCTCATGTAAGTTAATTAGATTTTGCCTAATTAATCTTTGAAAAATCGGGGCATGACACATTCACCTAGTAACCATTCTCGATTTTGTATAAGACATGCAAAAAGTCGACCTGGCACTTTTCCTTATGTTCGATGGGAAACACCTATCGTTTGAAGATGGAGTCGACTAGCCACCGTCTTTTAGATAAGTAGGCCCGTTGCGCGCAATTCCTTCTTGGGTTGCCATACCCCCCCCACACATTCGTTGAACAATGTCAACTAAATAGAGGTTGGCTAGTGGCTTGAACAAAAAATAGCTTGATGGTTACGGCACAAGATAGAGTACCCCACTTCAACTTTTGAATTCAAACAGATACCCTGTCAAGGAGTCAATACAGGGCTCGTTTGGGAACTTGGCTATTTGAGTTGGCTTTTTAGTTTTTTGGCTATTTTAGGGGTTGTTTGAGGTGTTCTAAATAAGTGCTCTTTTTGTCTTTTTGGACTAAAAAGTTGAGGAAAAAAATATAGATGTTTGGGTTAATTTTTTTACTTTTTATGGAAAAATGTGTATTAAAAAATTGTATAAAGAAGTGTGTAGGAGAAGATTAGAGATGTGTGGGCCACAGCCGTACAATGTGCAAGCCGAATTGATAGTAAGAAATTATTGGCTACTTTTCGGGCATTGCACTGGACGGTTTTGTTCGGCTCATGGGGGCCATCACGGGTCTTATTTTGATAATTTGAACCGTGCAATGTGTAGAACTCGTCGAGTACTATATGCCTATAAAAAATCACATCGATCGGATATCGATAGCTATCGGATCAGATTTGTTTTTTTTCAATCGTTAATTATAACACCATCCATTTTTTTTTATACAAAGCTGATTTGATCATGTAGTTATCGATATCCGATCAATGTGATTTTTTTTAGACATATAGTACCTGACGAGTTCTAGACATTGAACGGTTTATATTATCAAAACGGGACCCGTGATGGGCTCCCACAGGCTAAACAACAGTGTGTGAAAATTACACTCAAACTGTGCAATTTTTGGGACAAACATTGCACAACGCCAGCCATACATGATTGCTAAGTTGTATGGATGTGTGGAAAATTAATTTTTTAATTTTTTTTTTTTTGTGAATAGTGATAGCTTTTTAACTTTTTGAGTAACTTTTTGACTTTTTGGGGAGATGCCAAACTTGGCCTTAGTCTGGTTAAAAAGGTTGTATTTGTGATAATTTTTAGTGTTTTTTTTTTTTTTTTTGATGGTTGTGAGAGAAAATGTGAAATAATTATGATTTATATGTGATATTTTGTCTTATTGGCTATTTTGTCTTTATTGACTATTTCAACTCCAAACTTACATCACAAACACCCCCACAGAATATCAAACATTTAAGACCCACAATTTTCATTCATGGACTACTTTAACCAGTCAAACACCCAACTTCAAAGCAATGTTGCTCAAGTTCAGTATATTTGTACTTTAGTAGAAAATCATTGCATACCCCTTAGTGTAAAGTGAATGTTCACACAGTAGCTTGACCCCTAACTTAATCCCGATATAAATGTTATCAATATCTCACAAGACATCCCATAAGACATTGCAACCAATGGCTTGACTTTGATCTACATTTTTTTTTCTTGTGACTATGTATTGGTCCCTTAAGCTTTCTAATTAATCCATATAGCAAGTGTTAGGCCAATGACTTTTAACCAAATAGATTTAGGGAATTAGGTGTAGAGACACCCCAATGGGCTTAAGAACTCGAGTTAAAAAGGCTACAAACGCCTATGAAGCACCGACACATCCCCAAGCCTTGCGTACGAATGTCGGACACGGATACGCGTCGGACACGCAGTAGACACGTGTCTGACACTCTCTCTAACGTGTCCTCTTTTTTTTTTTTGAAATTTTCCAATCAGACGCGCCATGGACACGTCGGGACACTTTTCGGACATGCGTGAGGTGGATCGAAGAAGCCCCAACTGTTGGAGAGGAGACAGAGAAAGAGAGAGAGATCGAGGGAGACAGAAAGAGAGAAAGAGATCGAAGGAGGAGATGAGACAGAGAAAGAGATCGAGAGAGGAGAGGAGATAGAGAAAGAAAGAGATCGAGGGAGAGGAAGAAATCTAACCTGTTCAGATCAATCGAAGAAGCTGAGGTATTCTTCTTCATCTTCTCTCTTCTTCTCTTCGTCTTCTCTGTCTCTCTCTTCTCTGTTCTTCCTCTTCTCTTCATTTTCTTCCTCTTCTCCTCCCTTTCGTCTTTGCGTTTTCTGACTCTCTCTGTCTTTTGATTTCTTTTTCTACTCTACTGTTTCTCTTTTTTATTTATTTTTTCTCCTGTTTCTCTCTCCCTCTTTTTTTTTCCCCCCTTTTTTTATCCTTATTTTTTGTTAAACCTAAAATTCATAGAATATTTTATTTTTATTTAAAAAAACTCATTTTTATTAAATTTTTTTTAAAGATGTGTTTATTAATTTTATTGTTATTATAATTATATAAGAATCAATAATTTTCTTTTTATTTTAGACATATAGTAAATAAATAAAATTATATATATTAAACGTGTCCCCAGCGTGTCGTGCCCCCTATTTTTAAAAAAATTGCGTGTCCGCGTGTCCGTGCTACATAGACAAACGCAAACTAGTCATTTTTTCATCCGACACAAACTCTAACCCTTTGACAATAACACTCACTGCTTACTGAGGCAAAAGGCCGGCAACTAAATGAAGAGCATGGCAAAACAAACATATAAGCTCCTTTTTTTTTCTTCTTCCTTTTTTTTTTAAAAAAAAAAAAATTGTTTTTTTTGTCTTCTGTAAATTGTAAACAAGCCAATGTCTCTTATTCTATAGGTCATCCAATTCATCACAAAATATCAACAACATGCATATCCATCTCAATTCTAGGGGCCACATAACTGTACTCATGTGCTCAAGTGATTTCAAGGTAAATAAGTGGTACACTATTTGTTAAGCACAAGTAGAAAGAACTAATGTAGCGTCACTTAACCCATGAAATTGTTCAATAGGTTAACTCAGTCAATGAATTCAAATTGTAGTTGGCAACCATCCAATATCAACTACATATATCAAGTACTCATTTAACTTCAAAATTAGAAGTAAAACATCTATCTGGAGATGAATTTTTTTTGAAATTTTTTCAATTTTAAGCACAATTACCTCCCCCCAATTTAAATGTCACATTGCCCTCAATAAGGCACACCAAAGTATACGATGGAGTCAAGTACATAAAAGGAAAGGAAAGGTATCACCTTGAGAAGTAAGTAGTTACATAGAGACCAGGGCGAGAGACTCCCTCCAACTTAAAGCACAATGCGTAACCAACATCCAAGGAAGTGGAAAAAAAGTAAAAATAAAAATAAAAAGACCTAGAACTCTAAGAAGAAAAAAAATCAAAAGTATAAAAACAAAATAATAAATAAATAAATAAATAAAATCAGGTGATACAAGAACTTTCACTAACTTTTTTTCTCTTCTTATGAGTAATGACTAGAAGCATGGATACGGATGTGGACATGAATACGGACACGGACACGGACACGGGATACGGCGATTTCAAAAAAATAAGGACACAGGCACGGTGGGGACACAGTAATAAAATATGTTTTTATATATTTTTATTTGCTATCTACTATCTAGATTAATATTACATCGACAAACAATCAATATTAACAAAAGCTAACTGTAATTCTATTTTTTTTTTTATTTTAAAAAAGCACTTTCAAATTAACATTTACAATTTATAAAATGAGGGAAAAGACAACTTGGTATGTCCCTAGTGTGTCCCCGGCGTGTCTCTAGAAAATAAATTAATCAAATAAGGGGACACGCCGTGTGGTGTGTCCCATACATGTCCATGTGTCCGACATAGATACGACATTTGTTTAGTAGTGTCGGTGCTTCATAGATTAATGAGATATGGGTCATTCCAACAAAAATTATTCGGCCCAACAAAAAGTTTTGGCTTTGTTACCGCAATCAAGAGAATTTGCTTAATTGGAAAATGGGCACAATCAGAATAGTAGATAAATGTGTATGGATAATAAAGTGTAAAGAGAAACTCTATTAGTGGAATCAAGAAGATCAAAACCAAAAATAAAATCACACCCAAGGTCACTTGTCTTATCACTATACTCTCCAATTACTCTATCACCTTGGGTTTCCTCAACGTGCATGATATTTGCAACTCATCTCATCACTATACTCTCCAATTACACTATCACCTTGGGTATCCTCAACATGGATGATATTTGCAACTCATCTTCAAGACTCACTAGTTATATTTGCAACTCATCCTCAACCTTTCCATCAATCAAAAGTGATTCAAAGTTACTAATTTTTATGACATTAAACTCCACTTTATCTGACTAATCAAAATTTTCAACGTCATCCCAATTTTGAGATTTTTCTACTAATTGATAAAAATAATTCCAAGCCTTTTCAAGATATTTTTCAAAAAATTTACCATTTCAGTTTTTTTATAAACTGACGCATTTGAAAATATAATCCTTCATAAAAGAAAACAATGATGCATCCCGTCTCATAGTCATGATGTGGGCAAGAGTTTAACAAAGACTCAAATCGTTCCCAACATTGTCTCACTTTCTTCTTGTAAAAGATTTTCAATTTGTTGTCAATGAACAATGTTTTTTTTTGAATTGGGAAAAATTCTTTTAAAATTTGATTTTTTACTTGCCATGTTTCAATGGAGCTTGGTCTCAAAATATGGAATCATCGCTTACCTTTATAAAGTGGGAACAATTGAAGCTTAAACACTTCCTTGTTTATGTTCAGGTCATGTAAAAACTCACAAACCTTCTCTAATTCTTTAATGTGAATGTACGGATTTTCATAGGGTAAGCCATAGAACTTAGGAAGCATATGAACCACTTCAGGTTTTATATTAAGATAGCCTACATCACTCGGAGGAATAAGACTAGGAGGACTTGGTTGTGTGTGTTGCAAATAATCATATTGGATTTCCAAGGAATGGTTATTATGAAATATTTTTTAAACAATTTGACACACTTACAGTACTTTACAAAAGGAATTCCCCAACCCAACACACCCCCCACCCCGCCCCAAAGTTTGGGTCCTTGGGTCACAGTTAGCTGCAAGTCCTTCATTTGCAATCACTCGAATAATCTGCATTTTACCCTTTGACAATCGAAAACAAAAAATTCTAACTGAAGAATTAATATAAAAATTAAATTCCAAGACTTAACCAACCGGGCAAATTGTCCCCGGCAACGGCGCCAAAAATTGATCATTTAAAAATCAGTAACCAAACTATAACCTTAATTTAAATAGAATAGCAGTTGTAATCCGGGTTGAACATCAGAGACCAAAATGGTAAGTTGTGTTAATTATTGAAATTGATTCTTTAAATTAATTTGAAAGAAAAAGAGGAGTTATGAATTTGATAAAACTAAATTAAACTCAAATTACTTGAAGAAAAACAATTAAATTAACGAAGTATCCAACAATTGAAAGAGCTTAGGGTGTTGAATCCACCCTAGCTTCATAACTACGAATATTGTATCAATTTTGCGATTTGATTAATTGAACAAACAGCCCTTTGTGACTACAAGCTCCAACTCCTCAAGAAGATTCATGTAGTTATGAATTAGGTGTAACATAACCTATCTTTAATGAGAGCGAATCAACTTCAACAAAGTTTAACAACCACGACTCTTCTTGTTTAAGCATAAGCTATCGCAATTCACAATTACATGTACCACCTTTGGGGCATTATCACACACGAAACTTAATAATTTCTTTATCCAAAAAAAAAAAAAAAATCACAGTTACATGTACAATGAAAATGGTTGTATAACCATGTATTTAAAACTACAAGAATCAAATACATCAAACTCAATAGAAAGAATTGAATCTAGTATAAAAATATATTGTCTCAAAGTTATACAACTTGTATCAACAACCAATCCCAAAACTAATTACAGTAATCAACATTACTTGGTTGAGGTTTCATCTAAACCCTAAGTATGGCGTCTAGCTGCTCATGGAGAAGAGACAATCCATCAAGAACGAAGAAAATGCCATGAAGAACTTGCCGCAAATCTTCTCTAGTTGCTAGCCGTCACTCTCCAAAAGTTCGAACCCTAGAACCAAGTTGGGATCTCCTATTTATACATTGCTCCCTTTTCCTCTCCTCTTTTGGTCAAGATTTAGTGTGTTTTCACTAAAATTTGAGTTAATTCCGTACATCACGTCCCTGGGATCACTGAAGCTCTATTCTACAGGCATGTGCCTGGGCACACCACAACCTGTGCCCAGCCTCACCGTGTGCCTTGAACTTGGAGTTTTTCACTTTGATTAGCTCTGCACTTTGGTGCTTCAATTTTTTTCATTGAAGACACTTTCATGGCAAAAACACAACGGACCTGCACAACATGCAAATTCATTAAAACCATCAAATAACAATTGATATGGATTTAACTAGTGTAGTTTAGGGGGGCTCCATGTATACATTCTGGCACCTATCAATGCTGATTTTGTGCAGTTCTTTGACTAGGTTTGAATCTATCCAGAGCCTTTCAAGCTGTGAGTTTTATGTACATTTTAGGATTTTGGAGATAGAAAGAACCAAGCAAACTTGGGTGAGTCGAAAATATCTTATTGTTGCTTGTTTCCCCAGTACACACACAAACACAGAAAAAGGAAAGGGGTTTAATGTGTGACGTGTCCGATGAAAGTTGCCAGTGTATTGTTTGAAGCACCAACACTTTGACTTAGTTTCCGTATTTGTGTCTGACATGTGTTGGACATCAACACTCCTTGGACATTGTATGTGGCATTTAAAAACATGATCCGGCTTCATCTAGACCAAGTGTGTTGTTCCCTTGGGTGACAGTGTAAAATCTGTTGGCTGCAAATGGTTTCCTGTTGCAATAAAAACATGGAACAAAATAAATTAGAAATGATAAGGAAATAATCGCATTTCTCTTTGGTTCTAGCTATTTTCTAATGAAGATTGACATGATCAGCTCAAAGCTTGAACTTGTGTTTGAAAACTAGTGTGTATCTGCTGTTACTGTCTTCTTGTTTCATTTTTTTATTCCTTTTCTTCTTTCAATTCAATCATGCTTTTTTCTTTTCTTTTCTTTTCTTTTCTCTGTCTCTTTTATTTATTTATTTATTCCCCATTTGACAGGGGAGCTGAAGAGACTTAGAAACCTTGTCATTGATGTGAAAGAAAAGGGCATAAAAGTAGCATCTGCTTTGGTCAAAAAGATGCTGGAAAGGAATGTGTTCCTTTTTGGGTTTGTGGACATAAATGATGGCTCTGTGACTGAGAGGGTAAATGAACTCACAGATATACAGAATGCTCGCGTTCAAGTTGCACATAAGAAGTATATTTCAGCCCCCGATTTTTTGTTTCTTATCTTAACGTTAACGAGTTCCCTCATAATATTACAAACCTCTGAAGCTTCTTAGTGTCTCACTGCCTTTCTTTTCATCATATAGGTTATTTTCAAATACACGGATCGAGAATTTCATCCACACGGACTTGGTAAGTTCTTAAATTCTATTAGACAAATTTTGAAAAGGATAATCTATGTCTACTGCAGGGCTAACTTAAAGGTGCAATTCATTTCGCTTGGCAAAAAGTAAAAATCATCAAACGGATAAACATATAAGTTGACAAGTTGTAGTAATGTATATATACTAGTAAAGGAAGCACATGCATTGCACATGAGAAACGACATTATAGTAGAAAAAATGTTTCAAATAGAAGATGAGAAATGAAAAATATATTTATAGGAGACGTTAGAAATGCAATGAAATTGTTGATATGAAGCAACTGCAAACTAGATTTTTAAAATGACATCTGATTTGATTGTGAAATATAATCCTATTCATTTTCTGCTTATTGTCAACTTTATTTGTTTGGTAATGATGGCAACCAAAGCATGCATTTGCTACACGCTCTGTTGAATTTTTGAACTATGTTTCAGTCTTTATAGCTAAATTCTCTAGAAAATCTTTATCCACATAATATTCAAGTTATATTTTGTGTTTGTTTCGCCTTGATCTTGTCTTTTTATTAAGCAAGCTTTGGTTGAGATGCTTAATAGCATCATTTGAAACTGAAATGATTTAGGCACTCGTGATTTTATTTTAATTGGATTATACCAATTCCCTTTGATGTGGTTATAGATAGTTTGGCCAATCATTTTACTGAAAGAGAAACTATTTAAATGATTGAGTAGGTTTTCTTTCTTGATTTGTTTTTCTTAAAATTGTTCCATTATAATGTTACAAAACCGCTTACACAAATCACTCTTGCAATCAATTCTGAGATCGCTTTGCTAGGGCGAGCGCAGTTTACTATGCAAGTGAAGAGATTTAAGTGAGCTAATAGCGAGTGGACTCTCAATAGAATTCTGAGCAACATCTCTTAGCAAATCTTTATCCACATAACATTCAAGTTATATTTTGTGTTTGTTTTGTCTTGATCTTGTCTTTTTATTAAGCAAGCTTTGGTTGAGATGCTTAATAGCGTCATTTGAAACTGAAATGATTTAGGCACTCGTGATTTTATTATAATTGGATTATACCTTAAGGTAATGCCCTTTGCTGTGGTTATAGATAGTTTGGCCAATCATTTTACTGAAATAAAGAGTATTTAAATGATTGAGTAGGTTTTATTTCTTTATTTGTTTTTCTTAAAATTGTTCCATTATAAATGTTTCAAATGCACTTCCTCAAATATCTAATATATTAACATAGATAATAAGGGTTGCCACAATATAATGGTTAAAATGATAATACGGAAACATGTAGCAAATGCATGCTTTGGTTGCCATCATTAGCAAACACAAAAAATTGACAATAAGCAGAAAATGAATAGGATTATATTTCATTTATTTATAAAGAAACTTGGGGAAAGAAAATTTAAATAATATAAATTAAAATTTTCACCGCCACTGTAAGATTTCTAAACAACCTGTATATTAGATTGAATTAATTTGAACAATACATACATCATTTATATAGAGTACCACTAATCCTAACCCTACATGAATACATTACTGAGATATATAGAAGGCTAATAAACATAGGACACTGATTCCTAATCTGAGGAGAACACATATTCTCACAGCCACCACTATTGCTACCACACCCCCACCACAAATATAGAACCATATGCATCCAAGTCTTCCACCAAAGCATTAAAAGCGAAATGTTGACAGAACAAATACAGAAGAAAAAGTTAACAATTATCATGTCTTGATTCTTTTCACTCTCCAAGCAGAAAATTTACAAACCCAACAAATCTCGCTATATGTGATCGTCATAGTTTCTATGCTTGCATCTTCTTCCTCCTTGCTATCTCACAGCCAATACAAAGAGCTCCTATGAGAAAACTATAGGCCAGAAATTGATCACCTGCAACCCCACTCTATAGAAGAATGAAAATAATTGTATTGGCTTACCTTTGAATGAGGTAGAGAGCCATGTATATATAATGAATTCATATTACAAACAGGGAAATAAAATTGTCAATGCACTAAATCCGTGATTCAAACAATCATGGATTTTATACATACTATTTTAAACAAAATATTCAAATTTCCTAATTCAACACTCCCTCTCAAGCTAGCGTGAAGGCATTCAACAAACGTAGCTTGACAATGGATGATTGGAGCAAAGTCGGTCCCACAGACTTTGTGAACATGTTTGCTAACTACTAAGAAGAAGAGACAAAGGATGGATTTAAATACCAGTTCGAACCTTTTCTCTCATAAATTATATATCAACCTCGATATGCTTGGTATGCTCATGAAACATAGAATTAGAGGATAACATAATGGCAGATTTGTTGTCACAAAATAAAGAGGAATGAGTAGTCTCCTCAAAATCCAACTTTGCTAGAATAGAGTAAAGTGATAGAATCTCACATGTTCTATGTGCCATAGCCCGATACTCAGCCCTTGCAAAAGACTTAGAAACAACTGCTTTCTTTTTACTTTTCCATGATAAGATGGTCACCTTAGAAAGTATAGAAGCCAGAAGTAGAACGCTGATCAGTCCTAGATCCTGCATTGTTAGCATCAGTGAAACAGGAGAGTCCAGATTGATTACCAGCTATGAAGAACAATCCCAAGTTAGGAGAAGTTTTCAAGTACCTCAAAATGTGATGGACTGTGTTAAGGTGCTCTGTACGGGGTGCATGCATAAACTGACTCAACACAAACCTCAAGCGTCAAGTTAGGTCTAATGTGGGTCAAATAAATGAGACGTCCAACAAGATGTTGATATATGCCTGGGTCGTCCAGCAACTTATAAGACTCTAATGTGAGATTAGGATTCAGAAGAGTAGAAGTAGGTTTACACCACCAGTATCCTTAAGCAAGTCAAGAGTGTATTTCCTTTGAGACAAGAAAATCCATTGTCTTGAGTGAGCCACCTCAATTCCCAGAAAATATTCGAGACATCTTAGATCCTTGATATCAAAAGTTTGGCCTATGTCCTTCTCTACTTGACCAATGTAGAACAAAAGCTTTTTTGAAGACATAAAACTCAAAGATAGGTACTTTCTGTGGGTCCTGATGGATTTAACTGATTTGCAGGTTTAACTTGCTGTACTAAATAGCAAGAAGTTCTCATGTCAAAAGAACAATCTTGGAATTTACAATATACCATGAATTTCCTCCAAAATAGTCTCTTTTTTTTTAAAAAAAAAATAAAAAAAATAAAATAAAAAATAAATTTGATGTGCTTTAATCTGTATCTGATTTGATATTTATTTTCTAGTTTAAAAAACTAAATCCAATTTCCCATGTGTTCTAGGGTATGGAACTTGACGTTCATGTACTCAAGAAAATGTCCACTGATTATGCAGTGGCCAAGGAACTGGCAATCAAAGGTATCATAATACAGCTATCATCTTCAAATTTATGGAATGATAAAACATAGAATTATGTGTTGAATATTTCTGAACGATTCAACCTCGTGCCGATGCCACCATGTGGTGCTTGTGCACATCAGTCTGAAAAATTGGGCCTAAGCAGACTTTGAATGACTACAATTTCCTTTGGATTTGGAATGCCATTTGCTTTTATTATATTATTACTCCCTCCGTCTCAAAATAATGATTCCTTTTGGGAAATCTAACTTTTTTTGATAGTACAATTATTGCACTATAAAAAAATTAATTTTTTAAAATTACCTTTTGATAGTATATTTTTTTGAGAATATCAATGTCATAATTGTACTTTTTATGCTAATGGATTTAAAGAACAAAATAGGAAATTTATATTATTTTTGTACTTGATTTTTGAAAAGAGACTAATATTTTGGAATAATAAAAAATAAAATAAAGAATTAATATTTTGAGACAGAGGGAGTAGTTAAGATGGAACACTTGTAGCATGAGTAATCTACTCAGTCTGGGCATTTTGATGAAATCCTTGTAATGCAATTCTTAAGGCCCCAGTCGACAAGGCCTAAAAAAGCTGTTTTTTTTGGCTAAATAAGCTAAAAAGTAGAAACACATTAGTCGTCCTGAGCTAAAGAAGGAACCACAAAAGTTTGAAAAGTCAAATTTCCCACTGACCCAAAAAAAAAAAAAAATAATTACTTTTTTAACAACTACCAAATGCGTCACTTTTTAAATTATAAAAATGTAATTTCGAAACTCCACCTAAAGATAAAGAAGGGAGGTCCAAAGTCGGATCCAAAATTTTTCACTGAAAAAGTACCTCGTGTAATTTTAATTTCATGCTTATCATGAATTGGGAGCAATATTCAAATGGAAAATGTCTCGTAACTCAAATTTTGTGGTTCAAAAGTGGCTCAAATGGCCAAAACGACGTCGTTTTGGCCATTTTTATGCTGTTTTGTACTCAAAACGACGTCGTTTTGGCCATTTGAGCCACTTTTGAGCCACAAAATTTGAGCTACGTAGCATTGTCGTATCCAAATTATGCATGAAACTTTTTAAGCTCAATTTTGTGGTAGTGTGGACCGTGGAAGAACATCTGAGTTTTTATTTTTTTTTTAGTTTTTTAATTTTTTTGGCATTGCCTCAACTAGTACCCTAGGTACATGGAAAATGCATAAGACCCCAGTGGGGGTGACCCCCACCACCCCACTGATTTTTGATTGGTCCATAACTGTTTTTTTTTTTTTTTTTTTTTTTTTTTTTTCCCAGAATTACCGTAGGTACATGCACAACTCTTGTCCCACACATTTCGGGTAATTATTGAGCACAAGTCCTGGGGATGGCCCCAAGGTTTCAAGCGCTTTGTGAGATTCAGACTTTTGACATATTCTTCTTTGACAATGTTTGCTTTTTGTGTTAATTAATTACCCTAAATCTGTTCTATTGATCACCTTTACGAGGTTATTCATGTATTTTTTTGCTTCTTTTATTTATTTGTCTTCCCTTTTTTTATTGGCTAATAATGGCTCTAGACTTGCAAATTCTTCTCCAGCAATCAATAAGTTTCTGCGGTAAATAATTTTTTTAAAGAAGAGATATAACTATTTTCTTTAGTTGAAAACCTTTTTACCTGTGTTCCTGTTACAGAGGCTAGCGAGCTGGTGGATGTCCAAAACATAAAACACATTGCAGAAAATAAGAAATTGATCGGAGAGATGGTGGAGAAAACTGCTCAAGACTGGAACACCCAGAAAGAATCATTTTATCAACAAACAGGATTAAACCAGGCTGCTGGTGAAGGACCCCAACTATCGAAAGACAAAGAAAACTTTGAACAGCAAGATGATGTTAACTTTGAACAGGAAGACAATGAACATTTTGGACAAGAGAAAGATGGTGAAAACATTGAACAACCAGAAGACGATGAAAAATTTGGTGATGAGCTGGAACAACAGATGTTGTATGGTGAGGAACTGTAACTGTTGGCTACACATTTTGTACTAAGCCAGTGACAATCTGACGCGTGGCAAAGTGAGGGTAATATGGGGAGACCAGGTAGGTCTTCGATCCTGATCATACACGTGGCAATTAATATTGGTTGTTATAAGATCTGAGTAGTAGCAGATCAAAAAAGAGACGTATAGTGACGTGGCTTCAACGGATGCTCACATTTTAAATTCAAATATAAGGGGGAAGCCCAACTGCAAGTGAAGGCGTAGTGGAACTATTTATAAGGTAGCATGATCAGCAACTACGGAGGAGCAGTTCGACGGTTTGAAGTACAATTCGATGGTTATCTTCGGGGAGTATAAATAGCAGGAAGGACTTCAGAGAAGAGGACGGAGAAAAATCTAAAGAATCACTTTATATATTCGAGTGTTATTTCCTGTCCTTTATATTCCTGTATTTTTAGTTTCTGCGCTGCACTTCATTTGTAGGAGTAGTTGTCAAGTATATTGCCGCTGTAATTCTCTACGGAACTGAGATCATTGTAAGTTCTTTTTATACTAATGAAATACTCCAGTTTAGTTAATTGTTCTTATGTTCAAATTTCCTGAAGTTAAATTACCAGTAAGCCACCAGTAAAAGTCCTCTTTATTGAGGCCAAAAGAACCATAACACAATCGTCTGAATAATTGTTTGGCAATTCTGTAAGGACTGATTGATCTTTGCTGGCACGCTCATAATTACGAAAGTAACCTTCGAAAGCCAAAAAAGTCAACATATATTTTTGGCACGCCCGGTGGGACCTTTTAAAAAAAAAACAAAATGGCTAGACGTAGGAGACAAGGAGAAAATGAACGTTTGGAAGAAGGCGTGGAAGGAGATGTGGAGACATCCAATCCAGAGGATAATGTGATAACACATCCTGTGGAAATTCCTATCCTATCAGAACCCATGGTCGAACAGACCAATACCTCAGAGCAAATACCATTTGTTCGTAATATTGGACGAGACCAAAGAATTGGACCATCCAGTGTCCCATCTACTCAGCCAGTCAATCCGTGGGGTGGCTTGATAGATGCCATGAGACAGCAATTAGTAAACACAATGGAAAGGTGGGCAGTATCCTTTTTGGATCGAATGAATAACCACCAACCAACGAATGTAAGACAAATAGAGGAAGCGAATGTCCCTCAGCAAAGATTGGCTAGAGACAAACAGCCTATGCGAGCTAATGGACATTCTAATGGTCAAACCAGTAACCAGATTCATGAAAGATTACCACCTCAGTCTTGGTACGAACCCATTCCGAGGCCTATAGCAGGCCAGAATGCCTCAATGTTCAACAGTGAAGCCATGCAGATTGGTGGATCTGGCCCGGTACAAGAAAATGGCATAAGAATAAGTCCAAATCCCACATTCGAAGCCATACCTGGCACCAGGGGTACAATAATCCCGTATTCGAATTTATACCCGGGGGGTTGGAAGGTTTTCCTACAAGCGGAAGGGATGCAACACCTGTTCCAGCACATTTCGTGGGTCCTTTCGCAGGACAGGCTAAAAAAGGTCATCCATACCCTCAACAGCAGCTAGCACCACAGGGACAACCAGTCCCAAATATAC